GCTTTAGTCCAGCAAGATTATATTACAGCATAATTCCTCTAGTAAAAATACTGCCTTCAGCTCCTGGAATTAGCTTTTAGTGTGATTAATTCTTCCAAACCCTCTGCTGAGCTAAGCAGGGATATGAAGGCTTTATATGATGAGGCTGGCACTGGGTGTAAGATGTGAACAAGTTGAGTTGAGAGATGTATTTTGACACATCAGTGCTCATGAGAGAGAACTGGGTTATGTACAATAGACCCCACTACTGCAGCAAATTAAATACTGCACTGCTGTTTTCACTGTCTTCCATTCAGTTTAAGAGCTAGGTCTGTCATTATTGGTAAATGGCCCAGAACGGGGTGATTTGACAACACATCTAAAGAGGGATTCAAATGGCTATGAAACTGGCAGGCAACAATGCCTCAGGGATGCCTGTATTTCTGAGAGACAGTAGTAAAAATTAATCTTGCCTCTCTTCTTCCCCTTCAGAAAATGGTTCCTGGAAAAACTGAAACCAGAAGGTACTGCCTCCCATGTTACTGCTCTGCATGTAGCTCAGTCCTTTCAAATTGATATGGATCCCTGCCCATGCTGGCCTCTGCTGAGCTTCCTTGCCCACATCAGTGCCTTTTTCCTAGCTGGTTCATTTCCTGCCTGCCAGCCCTTTGTGTTTGCTCCTTGAGACTGTTCTGTGCCTTTCTTCCTGGAATGATGTTTTCCCCCAGTAGCTTCAGTGTCATCCCTGTATTCTCAGACTCCCATGTCTGCAGGCTGGTGGCAGGGCTTTTAGGAGCTTCTTGTCTGTTCTAAGTGTCACCTGGAAGCCCTGCTGCTCCCTTTGGCTTCCATGCAAGGCCCTCTCTGCTGATGCTCATCTCTCCTGGCCTGCAGTGACTGCCCTTGATTGCAAGTGTGACTGCAAACCCTGCCCTGGTGTCACGAGCATCATCATTAATCACGCTAATTCAGAGTGGGCTTTAGCCCCCTCTGGTGCTGTGTGCTCATTTGCTTCTGCTCCCAAAGTAAGAGTGGGACCCTGCAGTTCGTGCTGTGTTCGAGGGGGACCCAGCCAGCTTTGTCCCATCCTGTAAGGCTTCCCTATGGATGTGAAGGCAGAGCGCTCCCTCCATCCGTCCCTAGGTGGGTGTATTGCGCTCCGAGGGAAAGGCAGCAACGCCGGGATTCTTTCTGTGTCACTTAGGCCTCTACAAGCTGCTGGCTGGGTTTGAAGACAAATCTGCCTACGCTCTCTGTACCTTTGCATTCAGTACTGGAAACCCAGAGGAGCCCGTGAAGCTCTTCAAAGGCCAGACTCATGTAGGTGGTGTGTCTGCAGAGGGGAACATGCTGAGGGAGGAGGGCTATAATGGGAATTTCATAACAGCATTGGCTCTGTTGAGGACAACTTTAGTGGCTCCTGGATCCTTGAATGTCCTAGGAAATTCTGGGTGCTAAATGCTGCAGTCCTTTTGCCTACTGAACAGAACATATGCTTTGTATGTCACCTCAGACTCTTCAGCCCCCTTGCCTGCCTCAGGCAGGGCTGTATTTGCATGCAGTTGTTGGTTCTATTAATTGGGGGGCATAAAGGGGCTGCCAGAATAGGCCAGCATGATGGAACATGGAGTTTGGGGCTGCTAATTCTGGTTGGTGCTGGGTGGAGGCCAGCACTGATGGGGCAGTGGTGTGAGCTACGGATGCACCGAGCTCCTCTGCCTGTGTGTGTGACACGGGACTGCAGGGGAAGCCCTGGAGGGCTGACAGGGATTTGCTGCTTTCTCACGGCAGGGGCTGATAGTGGAGCCCAGAGGCCCTCGAGATTTTGGCTGGGATCCCTGCTTTCAGCCAGACGGCTACAGCCAGACGTAAGTGGTGTTTTACCTACAGCGAGAGGGGTGTCGGCTTTGCCAGCGTGTCCCTGCAGGCGGCCGGGAGCTCTCGGTGCCCCGGGGACACGTGATGCTGCCGCTCAGACCTCTGATGGTTTCTCTCCCCTCCA